ACATTCTAGCTTTTGACAGAGATGCAACATCCTAGCTTTTGACAAAGATACAACATTCTAGCTTTTGACAGAGATACAACATCCTAGCTTTTGACAGAGATACAACATCCTAGCTTTTGACAGAGATACAACATCCTAACTTTTGACCATAGAAGTGCTACCATAACCAAAGTAAGGGCTCCTCATTTAGCAAGAAAGGGCTCCTGTCAAAGCAACAATAATCAAAAAGGGCCCATGTCAGAGCTGCAATAATCAAGAAAGGGCTCCTGTTAGTGGTAGAAAGGGCTCCTGTTTGTGGTACAAAGGGCTGCTGTTAGTGGTAGAAAGGGCTCCTGTTAGTGGTAGAAAGGGCTCCTGTTAGTGGTAGAAAGTGCTCCTGTTAGTGGTAGAAAGGGCTCCTGTTAGTAGTAGAAAGGGCTCCTGTTAGCTAGTGCACATATGACTACTACAATAGACAGTTAACAAAAAAGTGTTATCAAGAACCGATACAAAAGCCCCTCATACTGTTTCATATATGTTGTTCAGTGATTAATACTAGTATTTATCACCGTACGAACAACTTTTTAAAACTCAAGTTCAGCTATGTAGGAAATGTGAAAGACATATTGAATAGGAAAAAAATCTTGTTTAGTGATTGAATCACGACTGACACAAAAACCAAGCAACCCATCCATGGAACCTTTACAAAAAACCAGAGCTAGCCAGTTCTGTAGTTGTGTATTACTCATGCAGGTGTGCATTAGTTACCTGCATGCTACCTTGAAATGTTGTTTCTCGGGTTTTAGCACTAAAGACATTTCGTTCAACAGTAAATTTAGCAAATAACTAGTTATTGTCTATGTTGTGTAATGGATTCTGCTAAGGGTTCATTATAATATTACGTTTTTAGTTATAAGGAGTCATTATCTAAATGGTTTTAGTTAAGGAGACAGCTGTACCTGACGATGATAATTCTGAATGATTTTTAGACTCACATCATATTTAACATCGCATGTCACAAAAGTGAGATGGTCCCACCCCCACCTCCACCCCACACAAGTTGCATATCGTCTCAAAAATCAGATAGCCCCCCCCCCACACACACACACACACATAAGTTGAATATAGTCTCAAAAGTCAGATAGCCTCTTCCCGACCCTCACCCCTACCCACCATAAGTTGCTTGACTTACTTGACTTAGTCCTCTTTGCTCCTTATGGAGCATAGGGCCTCCACCATTTCCTTCCATTTCTTCCTATCCTCGGCTATTAATTTTGACATCTCCCAAGACATCCCTATTGGCTTCAGTTCTTAAAGAAGACTCCGCCTCCAGGTCTGTCTTGGGCGCCCTCTCTTCCGCTTTCCCTAAGGGTTCCACTCAAGCGCTTGGCGTGTAACATTTATGTGAGCCTTTCGCAGTGTGTGACCCACCCAGCGCCACTTCCTCCTTCTTATTTGCACACCTATAGGCTCCTGCCTAGCTTTCCTCCATAGTTCCAAGTTTGGCACTTTGTCCTGCCATCTCAGTTTCAGTATCTGTCTTAGGCATCAAAAGTCAGATAGCCTCTTCCCTACCCTCACCCCTACCCCACATAAGTTGCATATCGTCACAAAAGTCAGATAGCCTCTTCCCTACCCTCACCCCTACCCCACATAAGTTGCATATCGTCACAAAAGTCAGATAGCCTCTTCCCTACCCTCACCCCTACCCCACATAAGTTGCATATCGTCACAAAAGTCAGAAAGCCTCTTCCCTACCCTCACCCACACCCCACATAAGTTGACCACCAGCAGTAATTACCCTAGTACACAACCCGTGATTTTTTTTTAAGTATAATTGTCATAAAGAATAAATGTAACGATTATAAACAATCTAAAAAAATGTTAAGTTTAAATAATTTATAAATGGCTCTATATTCAGGTTACAATCTACAAAACCTCAGGTTAAGCTCCTTTGATGGGGTTAGAGTTTGGTTTGTGGTTACAGTATAGTTAACGACAATCTTCTATATTTATAATTCTCTACTGGGAGCCGTTAGAAAACAAGCTGCAAGCGCGCCTTACAGTCCCCTCTCTTCCTCTCTATCGCTACCTCCCCTCACCCCCCCCCCCACCCCTACATGGTCTGGTGAGCTGTAGTTCACTCTAAATGATTACATTTTACAATCATAGAGCCGGGTTTGGTGATGGCTATTTGGGGCAGATAATTTAGTTTGAAACAATTTTAAAATTAGAGGAGGTAACTAAGAGGAGGCTGCTTTCACGGGGGAGGGGGTTAGTGTTTTAAAGCACATATTTTTAGTGGCACAAATTATGAATTACTGAAAAGTAGAAAATACAACAACTAAATAGCGGCGTATGATACACCGCGGGTCGGCTCGTTAAAATATATTCTACCATGTATTTTTGTTTTGTTTTTTTACTCCGTATTTTAATATTTTTATCTTACTTTTAGTCTTGTTTTTATAGCTCCAAACCACCTGATTTCGTCTCTCCCATGAGCCATTAACCCTTTGTAACCCAAGTGTATGTATCTCCACCTAAGCCTTGTTTAACCCTTTATGTTTGCATATCTCCGCCCATCGCCCTACCGCCCCGGCCCCTCGGTGACTTTAACGAAACTTAACCCTAGCATTGACTTGACCGGTTCTAGGCGGTTTGTCCTGCCTGTGTCAACGAACTATATCAGGGGTAGGGTGGGGGTTTGCAAATCCCAGGGGCGGAGAATATTACCGGAGCTGGGAGTGAAGAAATTACTTTGTTCCCGACATACAAGATTTTAAGTAGAAGGCACTGAAATATGTTAAGTAGCTTATTCAAAAAGTAGACATCAACGCTAAAAGTGCGCTGTGAATAAAATATTAAATTTCCTAATTAAGCGTAATAACAGCCACACGTATGCAGAGTTCCTTCCAGGCATCTCTTCGGGGGGGGGGGGGGGGCGGAAAACCCCGAAGAAAGTCTACCGCCCCCCCCCCCCCCCCCCTGCCCCGAACGAAATGGAGTTTATATAGAAAATATATTCTTTTAATAGTGACCGCCCCCCCCCCCCGCCGAAAATGTTAGTCACCCCCCGAAAATTTCAAGCGCCCCCCCCCCCTCCCCCCGGAGAAAAAAAGTCTGGAAGAAACACTGCACGTATGTCAGTCAACAGATAAACGTCCGCGTGTTTCTTTCCAAGTTTGTTAAACCCCAACCCCAACCTACAACTCATGAGCCACCTACAACCCCCTCCCCCTTATCTCCACTCTCTTCCCACCCCTCCCCCTCTTCTACCCCGACACGCTTTGATGCCGGCGATTGAACTGCTTGCTCCGCCGTTTTCTTTTCTCTCTCTTTTTTTTTTTTACACATTCATACATTTTTCAAAAGCTGGCCGTTTTCACCGTACATGCTAACGGAAGAGACCGTGTCTTTCACAATCATATTATCGCGCAACAGTTGCTCGCTGTTTACTAATCCATGTAACAAATACCTAGACAAGAAACAAGATGATTTTTTAAAATGCCCAAGCCTAGTGCAAAAGGTTGGTGCTAAGGTTATTTAAACCAAGCATGTATCTAAGCACCGTTCTTGTCATCGAATTGCTAGATTCTATTAGCAGGCTGACCGTAGGATTTCGCTTATGAAAACAAAATGGACTAAACACGATTTAATAGCGAACAGGTAGGCCTAATTGTTTGTTTTTAGTTGTTATTTTATGCACAACTTAGCATAGATACCAATATACTAAATAATTTAGGCCTACTAATTTAAAAAAAAAACAATCTTAACTATTATGATGTTCTAAAGAGGTGCAATATACTAGGATGATTCATACTGTGTATATCTTTACACAGTGTAACATAACAAAACAGATTTAAAAATGACAAGAAAAGACGTTTAAAGCAGCTTTTGTGTTATTGAGTAAAGAATGTTGATTTAAAATGTAAAACATTCTATATAGTTGTCATGTATAAACTACAGTAGATTTAAATCATCAACATCGTCATCATATCATCAAAATAAGTCTTTTTAAAGGTATGTTTAAGTTATAAAATGTTTATATTAATTAAATCTCTACGACGATCTCCGCGTATAGATGTAATGGTGTTAGTTTGTTTTGTGGTAATTATTTTCATGTTATTAACTATAAGAATACAAAGTACAAGTAGACAAGCATTTGATGTGCATGCTTTGGCCCCTCGATAGCATTAGTATTACTCTGATATGTCTTTCTGGTCTGTCTGGTATGTCTAACTGGTATATCTGTCTGGTATATCTGTTTAGTCTGTCTGTCTGGCAGAGTTTCTTCCGGGCATCTCTTCGGGGGGGGGGGGTAAAGTCTGAAAGAAACACTGCTGTCTGGTATATCTGTTTAGTCTGTCTGATATGTCTGTTGTCAACACCATTCAGATGGTGTCACTGTATTTAAACCCATCTTTTATCTAACGACCATCTTACAGCGATAAACTGGCCGCCAGACAATAGAAACCCATTAGCCCTAATTTGATGTGTACACTGTGCAATTGAGAGTTACAAAACCTCACTAGAACGCTCATTATCTCCCTTGATTTGTAGATTGTGCAATTGGTTAATACACGTTCACTAGAATGCTCATCATCTCCTTTGTTTTCTGACGTCCGTGTGTTTAGGATTTTACTTCAATAGTTCATTATATTTTACAATAAATCTTTTGCAGTAGTCTGTTAAAGAAAGACATTGTTGGCATTTATATTATGATGTAAGAATCCATAACATTAATTACGGAAGATGGATATTAATGGAACAAGAACCTTTGCTCCCCACTTTCCCTTAAAAACTGCACTTTTTTCTCTATATCTCGCAACTCATTTTTTTCAAATTCTGCAAAGGTGTAAATTTGTATTTAATAGGTTCAGTGTAATTTATACAACAAAACGTTGAATGGAAATAATAAACTATCGATTTACTTGCTAATGATTTTGTTTTACATTTCTGTTCCAGCACTTCATATTTGACTGTATAAAAAGAAAAAAACACACATTCACCCCTTTTTATAA